AACCCTGAAAATGGCACCGGCCAGAAGTGCTTTTTTGGAATGGTCTCTATGTTTTGCTAAATTACCCAAGTACCAATAAACATATGCATGCTACAAGAGTAGTTACATGTGCTGGTGTCTGCAACAGTAACTTTTCTGAAGAAAATTAAAACAAATGACACCTCCTTCAGGTAAGACAAGTGTGTGGGGCACCTGTTCCCACATTTCGGGCATTCTCCATGGTGCTTGGGTAATTTATGAAAAAATGTGTTGCATAACTTATCGACCTTTCTTTGCCAGCGTAGTTGCTTGCTTCTGATGGAAGGGGAATGAATTTACGCTAGCGGTTTCACGAAACTAGCCAGCCGCAGCTTGAGCGTACAGAGTTGCAAAAACAGTTTTCACAAAATCCAAATTGATTTTGTTTTGTTTTTTCCCTCGTAGTTCAGGACGTCGGCCAAGGTCATACTTTGTTCAAATTAAGATTATTATCAACTTCAGATAACACGAACCCCCCTCCCTTCTCGTTAGACGTGAGAAAGGCGGGCGCGGGCGTACCAGATTGCCAGCTGCGCGCCTCACTTCCCGCCGGCGACGTCACGTTTGGATGGCGGGGCAAACAGGAGAAATGCTAGGGAGAGCAAAGTTTTAGTTTCAGTAGCGAACAAGATATCTGTTTTGTTAATTAACTAGAGTCGATCTGGAGAAACGAGATAGCATTTCGGAATCAGGAAGCCTTCCGCATTCGCATAGTGCCTTTGGATTGGGTAGCAGCTAAAAAAAACGCCGAAGTTCCTTTGTCTTTAAGGAATATTTTGCTTGTTTTTTTTTTTTTTGTTTGTTTAGTGTGCAATTTGCTTTATTATTTGCAATCTTTCTAATGCATAAAACCATGACAAGGAAAGACAGATTTTGATGTGGTACATCAGACAGATGGCAACAATGACGATGTACGTTGCATATTTGCAGTAAATGCTATTTAGCAGCAGAGATTGCAGTCTGCACAGTTCACACGCAGAATGCTTTTCAACTGCATCGCATCCTACTGTAATTCTTGATTCTCTTACATACAGATCTGCCAATCACTAGGACCAAGATTTACGGAGACCCTGTGAAATGCTGAGGGGATGTGATGCAGGGAAAGATTTATTTCCTGGTAGCCGACTTTTCAGGGTTTTGGTTAAGGGGATCTACGCTAATTTTTTAGCTACTTAATCCAAAGGCATCATCTGAATGCGGATGACTTCCCGATTCCAAAATGCTATCTCGTTCCTGCAGATATTTTGTTCGCTACCAAAACCAATACATCGTTCTCCCCAATTTTTTGCCTAGTTTTCCCCGTCATCCAAACGTGACGTCACCGGTGGGCAGCGAGGTGCGCGGCCAGCAATGGGTACGCTCGCGCCCGCCTTTCTTGAGTCAAAAAGCGAGAAAACGGGCGTTTGTGCTACAAAAATCTCTAGTTGCGCAAAGTATGACCTTGGCCTACGTGCTGAACTATGAGAAAGTAAAAAAACGGAAGCAACTGGGATTTTGAGAGAATCATTTTTGCAATTTGGTACGCTCGTGCTACGGCTTGCTAGTTTCGTGAAATCGCTAGTAAATCTGTTATCCTTTTATCAGAAGCTGGCAGTTACGCTGGCAAAGAAAGGCCGAAGAGTCACGCATTACATTCTTTCACAAATTACCTAAGCAGCACAGAGAATGCTCGGAATGCAGGTACAGATGCCCCACACGCTTATGTTACCTGAATGAATGCAGTGGCATAGCAACTTGTTTTTGAGTGGGGGGGCAAACCAGACCCCCTCCCCCCCCCCTCCCCTCCAGGGCCGGGGGGCGGTGCCCTTGGTACCGCTTGGGCGCCACCGGCCAGTGTTTCCCCTGCCCAGTGGCGGCTGTTTCAGGGAAGGGGGGGGGGGGGGCACAACACATGCCTTTCCCACCCCACCCTGAGAACTGGGGGGGGGCAAGCGCCCCCCTTGCCCCCCCGGTTGGTACGCCTATGAATGAATGTGCCATTCCTTTTAGATTTTCTTTAGAAAAGTTACTTTTACAGATGCCAGTATGTGTAACTACTCTTGTAACATGGATATGCTCCTTGGTGCTTAATTAATTTGGCAAAATATCATTAGACCATTCCAGAACAGCTCTTCTGGTCAGTGCCATTTTCAGCGCTCAGCGTGCGTGCGACGCATACTTTGCTGGCCTTCCCAAGCAGCGAACATGCGCGTGCTGGGCTGTGACCTAACACATCTAGACTGCGATTCTCGTAAACAATGAAATGTATGGAATGGAATGAACCGCATTTCTGTAGGCCAGATGGCTGGTTACTGTTCACGAAGACTGAGCAAAAATGGCGATTAAAAGAACTCCGCAACCACCGAGCCAAACATCGAGGTGCAATGAAAGGTGTATAAAATACAAAAATACATTATTCATCTTCAAATAAAGAATATTTGCTTGAAGATACAATAGTGTGTAAAATACAGAAATGCATCATCAAATTTTTAATTCAAAATAAGTTACTAAAAAAAACTTGTAAAAATTTTCTTTTTTGGAGTAGAATGCAACGCGCTTAAACAGGCACGTGGGAAGGAGGTAAATCTGTATAAGATTTTTTTAAAATTAAGTTTTGGTTTTGCACAGCTTCCATTAGCTGTAAATTTGCATGCCTTTCCTCAAAGACATTATTCATTTTCATGGTTTTAAAAATCTTTTCAGCCCTATATAACATTTCTCCACAATAGAAAAAAATAAACATTTTTTCACCACCTCTTCTGCGAGAGAACATTACACGCCAAACACTTGACAAACCAGGCACTGACTCCTTCGTATCCAGACACGAATAGCAATATGTCGAAAGTCATGTCTAAACTCGGGGTTGGAACTCTGTTTAGACGTTTCACTTTTGTCTTAACAGATCGGCCGCGTGAGTGGAACTCCAAGAGTAGCCCAAGCTAGATCCAATGTCTAAAACAAATATAATGTTTATGAAAAAAGAAAAAAAGAAATCACTGAAGCAATTGTGAACAACAAATGTGACTTCACCAAATGTCAACTATAGTGCTAGAATGTGCACTATTTTTCTCGACATTATCAGCGCTCGTCTTTGGACGGATGTAGTAGTGGTCACAGCCAGTTTGAGTCGGCGTTTGCCGCTCTTGAAGTTGTTCCAGCTGCAGAAGGATACTCAACTCGCAGCATGCGGCTATAAAGTATTCCGAGCATAAGTGAGAATGTTTCACGTGACACTAGTTCTCTTGAAATACAGCTCACGCAAAAGGACCTTGACGTGGCTAGCCTCCATTGCTGCCGGGGAGCGCAACTGTTTCTCCCACGAAAACAAGAGTAAAAAAAAAAAGCTTTTCCCCGGCACTGTTTCTAAAATCTACCGTGAAGCACAAATTGCTACCCACTGCAAGGGAACTTTTAATCTTGAAACTGCTAAAAAATAATTTCAATCGCTGGCACCCGGAACGCCAACTCGCGACTGCCCGGGTCGCTCGTCCGCCTGCCCGCCGGTGACGTACGCGGGTAGGGAAAGGTAGGGATTTTTCATTGTTGCCGGTAGAGTCACCTCCTGGAACCCGCGCGGCCGGTGCAACTGTGTTGCTCAATAAAGTTTTTACCACAATAAAGTTTTTACCAACCAAGAACTGTGTTGCTTGCATTATAAAACAATGCGACTATGCTGTACCCAGTGGCTACACATAATGTTCAATAATCAAGGAGCCTTCCAGTTTGTTAAATCTTAATGTAGAAAGTATATTTCGCAAACGCAAAGCAAGAAATATGCTCTGCCCAAAACTCGGCGCTTGCAAGGTAGCTTGCACGCGTAAAGGTTGGATCCAGCTCGGCGCACGTGACCGCTTCTTTGCATATGGAGTTCGCGGCAAAAGGAAGAGGAATGCGATACTCTGGCTCTGCAAGTAGAGCCTATACAGTTACTCTACTCTAAAGTAATCTCCTATATCAGTTTCCAGACAGCTCATCTAGCCAAATGATAACACCTAACAACTGGCTCAGGCTCTAGTATACTGGGCTTTCATTTCTACGTGGCCAGACCAACAGTAGGTTTCATCCTAAAAACAATGGGATATTATGTGTTCCGGAGCATTTTCCTGTCAACAGTAAAACCGCTCCAAATGGTTGCAATCCATACATTGTCTGAATAATATGGAAGACTTGGCAGGTATGTATGGTGTGAAGGACATAGCATATAGCAGTTCTTACTTAAAGGGGCAGTGCAACAGTTTCAATGTTGAAAAAATTGCCAGTTTGGATTTTTATATTGTTTATACAAGCTCAAGTGACCAAAAACGTGTCACCTTTCCCCCAAAAACGGCTATTCTGCTGCGTAATCGCAAGGCAAAAAACGAATTATTTGCCGATCTGCAACCGCTGGTGGCGGCTACGGGAACTAAAATGACAGCGTCTCTGGGGGATACGCGGAAGTCAACAAACCCTGTCCCCCTCCACTGCTACACTCGCCGTCAGCCCCGTGGCGAACCGCCCTTTGTGACCATCGCTCGCCGCGACCTTCGACGAGGCTAATCCTTTGAAAGTCAACAATCGCGGAAGAAGCGGCTGGGGTCTCTGAAGAGAGGGCCCAAGGGGAAACCACGTGAACCCCCAGAGACGTCACTCGAAAGTCGGCGTGGAGAGTTGAGAGGCACTTCGACCTTCGATTTGTTTCATTTTTTTTAAATAAGAACTAGCGCTCGCAAGAAAATGCGGCTTTCGGTTTTTCGTTTCATAGGTGATGCAGATTAATTTCCGCAGTTAATTGGCCAAAGTCTGAAAATCGTTGCACTGCCCCTTTAACCTCCTGTATGACACCACAAGTAGCAATTGTACAGCATACATGGCTCGCAGAATTATAAGCAAGGAAAGGGGAGGTGATGTGTCAGAAGCAAAGGGTCTAACATCTTGGAACACAGCAAGGGTCCGCATCTGGATATTGAGAGGGGCACAAGAGCCACACGCAGTCGGCGGAATTGTTTAGAAAAAAGGAAGCATACCTCGAGCTTTTGTGCCCGCTCCTTGCTGAGGGGCTCCGACGGAAAAGCAAGATCATTGTGGTCAGCCAGGGTTCTGAGGTCAAAGTAGTACTTGGCGTAGACACTAGCTGGCACATTGATGTTGAATTGAAGGAGCTCAAGAAACTGGCGCTCAAGCTCGTTCATATCTTCCACTGTGATCTCTTTGAGGATCTGGCAGTAATCCACATTCCAGACTGCTTGGTCATCCCACACCTGGCAAAGCCCAAAAAAAAAGAAAAAGGGGGGAATGCTTAGCATCATTTTCTACTTCATCCCTACAGCTGGTGCAGATCACACGCTCCTCACTGCATTCTACAGACAAAATAGAAGGGTAACTTAGATAACCTAGAAAACTACACATGTTTTTATTACAAGTAGACCGATCTCACCAGCCAGTTTGACTACGCCACCGCTGCCGCAATGCATCGAGGGAATTTTAGTCTTTCTGCACGATCGACAACCCCGCTGGAACTCTGCGCGCATGGAGCACGAGACGGCATGAGCCCTCGCATGCGCTGCCATCTGCCTCCTGTGAACTAAAGTTATGGCAGCGTCACGCATGCGCCGAACACATAGTGAGATCGGTCTGTTGTGGGCACCCTGGTAGTACAAAGCGTTCGACCAGATTGCCCGCATATTAGACCACCTCTGGCCATCACCACAGGGTGGCCAAGTCTACTCGGCCACGCAAGTGGCTGCTAGATGACGAAATCAAATTCACAGATCTTTGTTATGTTAAGGGTGATTGATGTCCACGCTGAGTAGAGCCTGTTGACATCTGTCTTATCCACTTGTCCATGGCTGCTTTGTCTTTTTTTAGTGTTGTATATGCTACTGTGATGAACACAAATGCTATTTCTTTATTTCATTACATTTTAGGCCCAATCACATAATTTATGGATTGTCACCCTTTCATACTGCAGTTGCAAAATCTCCATCCCCATGACAGCGCCATGCTAAACACTACCACTTGTTAATATTCTCCGTGCTCGCAAAATCGGCAAGAAAACAACGGTCGTGGAATTAATGGAGATACCGGACCTATCAACAACCAAAAAATGTGAATTTTCTTTCCAGATATAAACCCAGAAAAGTATGCCAAATTTGAACAAAGTAAAACCCCAAAACACCAAACTCTAACTATAATGCTGGCAGAACCTGAAGTTTCTTTTAAAACTCGCATTCTAACAACATCCACAACACTTGCTGTTATTGTGACATACAAAAAAAAAAAAAATGGGCTAAGCACTTTGCTGAAAGTGAGCTCAGGTTAATGGGGGGTGCCATAAGCAAAGTTTGTTTCCGAAGTCGGCACAGTGAGTATTGCGTCAGTCACGTGCGCCGTTTTATTATATTTTTTTTTCCATATAGGGAGCTATTTGCTTAACCTAACATTTTGCCGAGTTTTATGTACAGGTTGAGGCCGTAAGGACTGGCACCATTTGGCACGCCTCGCAAAATTCTAATTCTACATATCTGAAACTGGTTGCGCTAACGTCATTTCGCAAAAAGTTTTGTCTATTTCTTTTAGGGCCCACTCAGAGATGGTGACACACTAAAAATAGTACAAAAACGGCAGCCGTGCATTTTCAATGTCCTATACCGGATGTTCGTTGTCTGCACACTGGTTTGCGAATTTGCTCTTAGTCGGTCGTCATTCGTATATTTTGTTATAATTAGTACTTGTCGAGATTATCCTGCTCGTCGCCAGCCTCTCAAACGGCATTCTCGGCGTTTTTGCATTCAGCGAGCCACCTGGGAGTGAGCTTGCAAACCAGCAAGCAGAAAACGAACAGGCTGACATACGTCACCTCCGAGTTGAGCTAGACAAAAAAATTAGACATAAAACTTGTCGCGAAACCACATCCGCGTGCCCAATTTCAGGTATGTACGTTTGGAATTTGGATTTTGCGAGGCATGCCATATGTGCAGGTCCTTGCGGCCCTACCCCATATTTTCAATGTTTTCATCACCGGTGAATGTCATCATAATATTTCATTAAAATGGGCCCTAACTAGTCAAAATGGCTGTGGGCCCATGTAGTTTTCCAGTAACCTGTAATGTGCACTTACTGAAATAAAGTGTTGATGGATTGATTGATTGGTAACTGGGAAAGAGGGAAAGAGGCCCACCTTGGAGGCTAGGAGCACAGCCCCCAGGACGACCCGTCGCCAGCTGCAGGGGGAGATGTCCATTTCGGCGTAGGTGAGCAAGCGCTCGAGGTAGACGAGGGTTATGATGGCGCACTCGGCGCTCAGCTGGGCGGCATTGAACAGGGTGCGCACAAAGCGGTAGATGGTGCGGTGGTCCGGGTCCCGCATCTCGGGTGGGTCCTTGCTGAGTGGGTGCAGGCGCTCGTCAAAGATGTCCAGGGTGCGCTGCTGGCTGCCCCGGTCTCGGATGTGGTAGAAGATGGCCAGGGTCACACACTTGATGGTCGACCGCAGGTTGGGCTGGCTCACGGTGCTGTCGTCCAGGTAGATGGTGGAGCACGAGTTGGACTTCTTGAGCAGCGGCTTCTCTTGCAGCTGAGCAGATGCACGCACAATGAACATTACGCACGGGTGAGCAATCGTACGTGCCACGAGATTAGACACGCCAAGACTGTGCCCTATCCATTTTAAGAGTCCACCTCGGTCTAAAGCTTCTTCCCGCAACTCTGCAATTCCAGCAATGCTTTTGTGACTCAACAAGTTTGTATCGAGACCTTTTCTTTTAAGATGGTAAAAACTATTTATCTGCTCAATGTCACTTGTTCTATTCCCAGCAAAGAGCTTGAATTGAAGGTGGAAAAATCAGATTAAATGGTGATCCAAGAGTAGATGATTAGAGCCACTGTTCAAGGGAGATACACATCTCTTAGATACAGTTTAGTAATGATGCAAGGTTTACAGTCCTCACTGCACATAACTAACATATAATTTTTGCTATACTTTAGGAGTGACTTTTAAGAATAAAGCATGCTATGTGCTATCATATCTTTCTGAAAATTAAATTTTGGGGGTTTACATGCCACTCCAATGAATGGCATCTGGCATGCCCCAGTGAAGGATGCTGGACTTTGACATGCAAACAAAATTTAGGTTATTTGGCGTCTACACCACAGTATACTTCTGCCAGAATGTAGGCACTTTGGCATAGACTTAGATCAGCCACTTCTGAATCCATAGGCTGCACCTTGGCCTTGGCCACCAAGGCAACTCAAATCCCTGAAGACTTTCAGTGAAAGTCCTGCAAAATGACATTGAGATCTTTGCTCCAAAATAGCTCCCAGTTGATACAAAAAAAAAAAAAAGACAAAAACAACTCTTTAAGACACAGCTGCTCAAATCTTAACTAGATAGTTCACTCCACTTCACCCGATTTGACACTACCGAATCGGTTTTAAAGGGCAACTCCGCTTCATTTTTGATATTTAGAAAACTATGTAGCCCTCTTCAGTATCATATAGGAATACCCCATGTCAAATATTACGATCTAATTCCGTTTATATATTTAATCAACTGGGCCAGCAAACCTTCAAGCGACCCAAGTCGCCAAAATCTGCCAACTCTAGCGTGCGGCGCGAGGAGCAATCATCAGCGCAGTCAATGCCACGGAGTTGGAGCAGCCGACATTGAGCCACTACGTCAGAGGCATGACTACGTCATTCTCACGTTTTGTTTGTTTTTACTTCTCAGAGCGAAATTGAACGATGACGTCATGAGTTTCTCCTCCCGGTGTTGGCTGACCGGGCGTTCACGTAATCACTGTAACGCGGATGCGCTAGTTTGCGCTGCCCTGCGCGCTTATCGGTCTGTTTCACCGCTCCCCTTCTCTTTCGTCTTCTCCCCTTCCCCCTCTCCCCCGGGCCATCACCGTCCACGCCATGCGAAGCGACCTGCCCGCGTCGCGTGTCCTGTGTCTCGCTCCCTCCCGAACGTCACAAGACCACGTGGTTCGACGTGACATGGCCATGACTCTGACGACCCGAGACCAATGTTGCCTGACGCAACCGAAGTTTCGGTTTCAGCTGATGTTTAAATTAGGATTACACAAATAATATTTCACATTTCGCGAATCTGAAGACGTGGAGTTGTTTAGCAGTGCTTTGTGAATTTGAATCACATTTAAGCCTAAATTTTTCGGAATTGAGTGGAGTTGCCCTTTAAGGTCAGCTGCCAATTTTTAAATGCTTAAAACATTCCAAGGGTCATTTAAGATGTGTATAACTGCTTAACTAGAAGCACAGCACCCTCCTTTAAAAGGGCACCATACTCACAAAACACTTCTTTTTTAAACTTCCTGGACAGGCTATGCACATCTCAAAATGTATCCCCCCCCCCCCCCCTCACTCCAATCCAAAATTCATTAACCCAATATTTATGCCACAACATGCAATTTAGATGGAGCCATTGATGCAGCGTGCACATCACCTTCTTCTTGGCTCTTTTTCTCAGCATGTGGAAGGCAAAGGCACAGAAAAGAGGTACACAGTGGGCAATGGATGAGGCATACCTCTCCCCCCCTGTACACTCCTTCACAAAATTACTTCTACTCTGATGTCACTGTGCCACTGACCCACAAATAGAAGTCATTTTTGAGCTGCCGTGCACAAGCAGACAAAACCACCCTGAACTGAAAATGTGCTTTGTGACGTAAATACTGCATTTGTTTTAATATTAATGCAATGATAATAATTCCCTCTCCAAAAAATATTAATGTGCATTTTTTTTTGAAAGTGCATTTTGTGACATTGTGTGCTATTCAAGCAAGAAAAATATTGCTCTCTCTCTCTCTCTCTATCTATATATATATATATATATATATATATATATATATATATATATATATATATATATATATATATATAGAGAGAGAGAGAGAGAGAGAGAGAGAGTGCAATTTTTTTTAAAGGAAAAGCTTTAAAGGGACATTTTCTTTTTTTTTTTACTTTTTTTGTCTTTTAAATGAAGGACTACGGTAAGCATTTTTGAGGACGCTGGTCATAGCACTTCAATTTGCAAGATCCTCTTGGAGGTAAACAATAACAATTAGCCCAAGTGTATGTTTGTTTAGAAACCATGGGCAAATGCACCTGCCATAAATCCTCTAAACACTGAGGGATCTATTAGATAAAATCATCCCACAGCAAAATTTACATTTGCTCAACGGTGAAATGACTTGTTACATATTTGAAAATCAAACAAGGAAAACATAAATGCTGCAGCAGATGATACACTTGTAACCTCAGTAGCATAATTTGTGAAGAGATAATTGTGACTTCAGGAACTAATAACTGCAATTACTGGGAAAGCGTGCAATATATGCACATGGAACACATGGCCCTGTTCACTGTCCGAGAGAACAGAGGAAATCAATACATACATTAATTTGACTTCTCCGCTTCTCCTTGCAATCTAGAAAAGAAACGAACAGGGTTAGCAATGGTTTACTGCACAAGTTAACCACTGTCTACTCACTTCTGATGTCACTCCGAGACCTCTGCATGAAGAGCGGGCCAGCCGTCGGATGTGTCGAGGGGTCCTGATCAAAATCTGGAAGAGCAAGGTAGCTTCACTGCACTGCATTCAATATGAATGGCACCTGAAATGAGCTGAAAAGTTACTAGACATAGAACAGTGTGGCTAAATTGAACCTGCCACCTTGCACGAAAATGCCATAACGGAGTCGCGCTTGTCATAAGCACGACTCCTTTAGGTCTCCACAAAAAAACAACAGGCTCTGAAGCAGACTTAAGGAACATAGATTGTCAACTCTCCACAGACAAGCCAAACATTATGTTGCTTTCAGAAACATACCATCTGTTTTGCGAGTTTTAATAACTTTTTTTCAGTTTTTGCTTGACCTCAAGAGACTTGTCAAATTAAACTCCAAGGCACTACGATAGAAATTGAGGAACGAGAGCAAACCTTCAGGTTCCCTTTCACTGATGTGCTGGAGGTTCGAAGCACTTTCCTCCGAATGGGGAGGGTCGCCACTGTCCTTTTTGCGGTGGGGCCTGGGGCTCGACGCCGAGCAGCACGAGAGGCTCCCACCCATTTCGCATAACGCACCTTAGCAGTCTCTGGCCGCATTGCACCCCTGCAAAGCAGACACACTCTACTGTGCTGCTGATCCGACTATTCGGAGCCACCAGGCACATTTTGTTCCCGTCATCTCTCGTTTTCCTCTATCAACCGCGATCTAACCTCAGCAAATCAGTCTGCACTACGCGATTTGCGGGAAGCCACTGTTTTGTCTCGTACAATACTACGAATTTACCGGTCAGAGTGCTCCAAAGGAGTGAGACACCGCACATCTGAAAACACGTAATACACTGCATCTCAAGCGGTACGGAGAGAACCATCGCCCTATTTGCATCGCTAACGATCTCGTGACTTATATCCTCACGATTAACGTTAGATTCCAATGCTGCGACTCTGCTTGCAAATTTCATTTGCGACGTCTACCCCAGCAGCTTCCATCCTCACATTTATTTATTTTTACTTTTTCTTACCGTACGAGCACATCGCAACTGAAAACCACAAGCAGAATCACAGCATGTGAATCAGGCTTTAGAGATACCGGCGTAAACAAAAGGCAGCCGCGAGACTGACACCTGTTTCACCACGAAATAAAGCCAGGTCGCGCTAATTTCATCGCGAAAAAAACCCTTCTACAGGCACTGTGCCCTTCAACCCTGAAGGGAGTGCGCTTGGAAACAGTAAAGCATAGAACGACAAAATTATTCTCAGGATCGTATTCCATTGATGCATGCCGGGCCATAGCCGGGCAAAGATCAGAAATTTTGAGTGGCAATGACATTGTCCTCACCCTTAAACACAGTGGATAGCTTGATATTCTCAACGGCATTACACCCATCGTACGTAAATCTCGCATGATCAACATAACATGTTCGCCTTTGAATGTTACACTCAATTTACGTTAAGTTGCCATAGCGAACGCAGCTACAGAGCAGAGATTAGGCCTAGTTTAGAAATGAGAAGGAAGGGCGCTAGGGATTGTTGATGTTGCCTGATGATCGGCATCAGTCGACATGACATATCCATAAAACGACTAAAATATAAAAACACAAGACGGATAAATTGTATTTGTGTATAAGTCTATGATAAAAGGTAAAATTTTGGTTAGAAAAATGATATTTTATATTAGCTCCAGAGTTGCTAAAGTCCACGAGAGGCACTCGTGAAAAGGAGAAGATAAGTACAAGAGAAGGCATGTGGCGCGCGATTCAAATTTAGTTTCGATTAAGAGTGGTGTGACACGACTCGAATTCGAAATAAAATTTACGCTGGACGTCGCGTGACTTGTAACTTTGTCGTTCTTCGTTACGTTAGAGATGGTAGCACTGAGAGACAGCGGCGGATTCAAAACTCCTTTTTTTTTGTTTTTTATTGGGGGGGGGGGGGGGGGGGGGGGGGGGGCTCCACCCATGTCAAATTGCCCTCCAAAAAGGGGGGGAGGGGGGAGGTCAACTTGTTTTTTTTTTGTTTTTTTTGTTTTTTTTTTTTTTGGGGGGGGGGGCGCTCGGGATACTACAACGAAATTTCGGCGCTCATTTTTGGCCTATATGTGTTCAAAAGAGCAGTATCACATGGAACGTACCAATATCTTGTTACGAAAGTCTCGAAAAGGAATTTTAAAACGAATTAAACGATTAGCAAAGAGCACCTGGTGGATGTCGCTAACGCCTCGTTTGTAATGCTCGTCTAGGAACCTTGACAGCTAGTGACGGAGGTTGTCTCGTCTCCGGCCACGACGAAAGAAGGGGGGGAAGGAGGAACTCCCCTCTTCCCGAGAATCCCTTTTGTGTATCGCAGAAGTCGCTATTGTCCCCCTAGAAGATTAGAGAAGATTAACCCGTCACTCAAAATTCGTACAAAATAAGCCGCTTCGGTGGCTGGAACGACTAGGCCATCCTCTCGACGTCAGCCTCGCCGTAGCTTTGCTCGTCTTGAGACGACCTACGTCACGATTGCGTTGGATGTCACGTGCTCTAAGCTGGGCCTTCTCCGAGCGCTTGCCAGAGTGGGCCGTTTATAACGAAAAATACAGCACCAGGATCAAAATACAAACGTGCGATTGTCATTTACGGATATTGTGGACCATATTCAACCTATTTTTGAACACGACGGGAATATTTCAAATTTCGTTGAAGTATCCCTTTAAAGGACACATGCAAAGGAAAAAAAAAATTTTTTTAGACAGCTTAGATGGAAAAAGGATGTCATAAAACGATTTTACAACGAAGAAAAAACATTTTTAGAGCTATATTTACGGCGCGAATTTGTAGTTGGCGCTCGCGGGAGCCGCCGCTGGTCACGTGGTAGGCCCGCGCGCCGCCGCGCTGCGTCGCCGCCGCACGCTGAGCGTTGTGCGAACGCCGCTTCAACGCGTTTCTCCACGCCGCCGTCGCCGCCGCCGCACAAGTTCGTCTGCTTCGGGGCGCCGCCGCCGTCGTCTGACCGGCGCACAGGTCTATCACGTCTGCTTGCGCTTTTTCAGGAGTTTCCTTCGGGCTCTAAAAGTTATTTATTCATCCTAGTTTTTTGTTATACTTCAAACAAAGATGAATAAGTTACTTTTAGAGGCCATAGGAAGCTTCCGAAAGAACGCAAGTACCACGTGATAAATAAGGACCAGTCACGTAATAAATACGGACCACTTTTCCGCGGTGCCCGCGGGCGCCAACTACAAATTCGTTTTGCGCCGTAAATATTAGCCCCGTGCGCGACCGAAAGCGTCGCTGTGGTCGGCCTTCCACGATTGGCCCAAAAGCTGACTATGACGTCGGAAAGGGTATACCATTGACGGAAATAAGAGGAATGAAAGAACTTTAATTTCGACGGTGTTGGCAGCGTTGCTTTGAGAGCGCAATGATTTCAGGCTTCCACCATGCTATTTACAAACACCATCGAACTTGTTGTTCGCAAGGTAATGACGTCACAAGGGGGAACCATAGGAGGGAGCCACCAAAACATCTCGCCGCTAATAGCTCTAAAATTTTTGTTTCTTCGTTGTAAAATCGTTTCATGGCGTCCTTTTTCCATCTAAGCCGTTTAAAAAAAAAATGTTTTGTTCCTTTGCATGTGTCCTTTAAAGGGATACTTCAACGAAATTTAAAATATTTCAGTCGTTTGCAAAAATAGGTTGAATATGATCCACAATATCCGTAAATGACAATCGCGCATTTGTATTTTGAGCCTGGTTGCTGTACTTTTCGTTATAAATGGTCCACTCTGGCAAGCGCTCGGAGAAGGCCCAGCGGAGACCACGTGACATTCAACGTAATCGTGACGTAGGTCGTCTCAAGACGAGCAAAGCTACGGCGAGGCTGACGTCGAGAAGATGGCCTAGTCGTTCCAGCCACCGAAGCGGCTGCTTTTGAACGAATTTTGAGTGACGGGTTAATCTTCTGTAATCTTGTAGGGGGACAATAGCGACTTCTGCGACACACAAAAGGCATTGTCGGAAAGAGGGGAGTTCCTACTGCCCTTCTTCTCACGTCGTGGCCGGAGACGAGACAACCTCCGTCACTAGCTGTCAAGGTTCCTAGACGGGCATTGCAAGCAAGGCGTTAGCGACATCCACCAGGTGCTCTTTGCTAATCGTTTAATTCGTTTTAAAATTCCTTTTCGTGACTTTTTTAACAAGATATGGGTATGTTCGATGTGATGCTGCTTTTTTGAACACATATAAACCAAAAAATGAGCGCCGAAATTTCGTTGCAGTATCCCTTTAAAGAGCCTGGCGTCTCCTTGTTTCACCCTGTAGAAAGGGCTAGGGGGATGAGGCGCCGACGAACGCGGAGCGTAGAAAGGTCCCGGATGTACGCGGCGGCGCTGCGGTCGTATGGGCTGGAGGATCCGACCGGTTTCGAGCGTTCCGAAGGCCTTCGGCGATCAGCTTTGGCTTGCGGTTTGGCCGTTTGACGATATGGCAGCGCGAAGGGGCTCCCGTTCTGAACTGATCTTTACCCCGTGTTTGCTGTCGTCTGTGGCCAATGAAGTGTTATGCCGAACTAGTCTTTAATCAAGGGGCTCCCGTTCTGAACTGATCTTTACCCCGTGTTTGCTGTCGTCTGTGGCCAATGAAGTGTTATGCCGAACTAGTCTTTAATCGCGCAGCAAATGCAATGCGAGCCGCCCTGGCCGCCAGCTTCATACAGCCTATCCAACACATGCTTTAGCGGCGCCCTCTCGAGCCGTCGACACGGAGTGCGGCAGCCGTGAGCACTCGATGAGCTCACTACCCTCCTCTATTTCACGGCCACTCAAGCCAGAACCTACGACGCCATGAAGGAGGTTATTTTCTTGCTTGTTTTTGTAAAAAATAATGCGAAATTTGAGAAAAGAAAAGTTTCATTAAGTTACTACGTTCAGTGCGCTCAGGTTCGGTGCAAATTAAAAACCAGACAAAAAGTCCTTGCAGGGCAATTTTCTCCCCCTAGCAATTACCAGGCAGCATGGGCTTACCAACCGGGGGGAGGGGGGGGGGGCACTTGCCCCCCCCCCCCAGTTCTTAGAGAGAGTGTGTGTGTGTGTGGGGGGGGGGGGGGGCAAGGCATGTGTTTTGCCACCATCCCCCCCCCCCCCTTTAAACAGCCGCCACTGGCAGGGCAAACGCTTGCCGACGGCGCCGAAGGGATACCAAGGGCACCGCACCCCTTTGCATCCCTTCGGGGAGGGGAGGGGGGGGGGCGGGGTCTGGTTTGCCTCCCCCCCCCCCCCCCACACACACACACACATACACACTCGAAAACAAGTTGGTCCACTGCCAGGCAGTGTGGGGTATCACCAGGATGACCTTTGGGGGGATCGGGCAAAAAAACTAAAAAATATTCCCCCCCCCCCCCCCCCCCCGCCTCTTCCTCCCGGCGAGGAAGTCGCCAATTTTCCCCTGGTCAAACCTTGCCGGCGTTACCCCAGCACCGGACCCACTGGGGGACAGGGTGAGACTTTGGGCCGGAGCCACGCGGGAGGGAGTCCCAATTTTCCTCTGTCCCACTTCTCCCCAGCTCTGCTGGTTAGTTGTGCATCATTCAATTTTCCCTAGATGATTTACACCAATCTTCTAATCGCCTCTTTGCGAAATCCTTTTCTGATCTGTCCTTCCATCGTCGCCAGCAAAATCCAGGGCCCCGGCCAAATCTGCTACGCCTTCAGGGAAGGCAGGGCGAAGCCCCGTGCACTCCAAAACCAAGTGCTCTCGCTCTCATTATGGCAGGTAGCATATAATGTGTGTCTGTCTCCTCCCGTTTTCGCATCAAACAGTAAAGAACTACACAGGGAATTGCCAAAGATATTTTCCTTTCTTATGTTCTTTTTTTGTGACCTGTACATTGTTAGAGATGATTTTTCCTGCATTCTTAACTCCCACATTTTTCTTTCTGCCTCTTTCACTCCCTTTTCCACATAAGTAATTCTTACACGTTATTTTCCAATGTTGAAAACTTTTGCTTACAAGTGAAGTACTGTCAAAACATCCAAGTGGTTGTTCCCGAGCGCTATTAGTGGAATTAAACTTTTCACGGAGTTTAGGTGGTGAATAATTTAGTAAGTGAGATTTTCTAAAATACATGCAAGAAAAACGTGTTTTCCTATGCACTGGGAGAAAAAAAAACAAAAAAAACCGTCTGGTTGCTGCTGCTACGCAATGATGAAACAAAAGCATGAAACAAAAACTTCAAAGCTTATTTGAGTTGAACGCCCGAAAAAAGCAAATCCAGCAAATCCACACACCGCGCGCGCTCGCGCGCGCGTGTGTGTGTGTGTGTGTGTGTGTGTGTGTGTGTGTGTGTGTGTGTGTGTGTGTGTGTGTGTGTGTGTGTGTGTGTGCGTGTGCGTGCGTGCGTGTGTGTGTGTGCGTGCGTGTGTGTGTGTGCGTGTGTGTGTGTGTGCGTGCGTGTGTGTGTGTGTGCGTGCGTGCGTGTGTGTGTGTGCGTGCGTGTGTGTGCGTGTGTGCGTGTGTGTGTGTGTGTGTGCGTGCGTGCGCGCGCGCGTGTGAGTGTGTGCGTGCGTGACCGTATTTTTGAACATATCTCTTTATTCTGCCTCTCTTGGCAAAGAAAAATGCGTCCTATTCACCTCGAGTAATAACTAACGGCTTGAAGCTTGAGTGATATGTAACGTGTAATATGGTTCATTCATTGTGTAATATAACACAATAACTTGTTTCTTTG